ATTGATTTACATTAATAGTGTAACTCATTACATTAATATTTAATATAGTAATAATATTTCTATAAAAATTAACTATCTATTAATATAATGTACTATACTCTTGAAAATTAACTAATACTCTGTAATGTAAGTGGTTATTATTAATAATAATAATATAATATTATTTTTTGTGAACTTTGGAATTGTGTTATAGATGCATAAAGTGTGATACTGTTTAGTTTTGAGATTCTTACATCAATCAACGTGAATTAAAACCAGAGTTGTTTTAGTTACAATTATTAGTTAAAAACTCCATTATATATAATTTGTCGAATACCAAATCTTCCACCTACCAATTAGATTGTAATTTTTTTTAAAACAAACTATAAAAATAGAAAAATAAAGAAAATAAATGGAGCTCTAGTTACATATCTTATATTTTATAACAATCCGCTCTGGTGAATACATTAAATGAATTAATTATTAGTAGTGAAAAAATATACAAATTATCTAAGACAAATACAAAAACAATTCTTAGATATACACAAGTTAATATATACATACATGTGAACAAATTAATATATATATACATACGTTTGAACAACTGAATATAATCTTAAGTCTACTTAGACTTACTCCATTCAATAATTCATGTTCTACATCAAATTTTAACGATCCAATCATTCAATTTGAAGTTCTTAATGCATAGATCAAATCTGTAAATTTTTGAAAAATTTAAAAATCATTTGATATTTCGTTTTATTAATTCGAATCAATGTATAAAATGATTTTATGATTATCTACCAATTTGAATTAATAATTCACTCTAAGACTTGCTCAATGAGGATTTTTCAACAACTAGCCATATAATGGGATATTCAACTTTCAAAACCACTATCTCCTATAATCTTAAGTCAAAAAAAATGTTATGCATTACCCCAAGTCAATGGATTAACAACATTAATCAATGTACAACACAATTGCACTTCAATAGTTCAACCATATAACCATTTACATATATTATCCCATATTAATATACATAGAACTAACAACACTTTCCAACATACATCATGCATTAGATTCATTTAACATGTCAATGTTCACCCATTAATCATGAAAATAACAAGTTGAAATAAGGTAACCCATGTCTGACATTATTCAACCCACACTTGAATGGATTTGGTAGAGACCCCTAAGCCCTCACGGTTGGCGTGAAAAAGTTTCATGCCCAACCCTAATCCATTCAAAGACGAGTCTTTCTCCTCACATTCGGTATCATTCAAATCATGTTCGATGTGGCTAAACTAGAGACAATTCTCTCTCTCTTCATGCTCGATGTCACCAATTATACGTTTGATGAGAGTAATGCTAGGGCCCTTGATTCAAGCCACACTTTACGTCTTGAAGACACACACCTGATGCGGTGATGAGTTCACGCCTAACAAACTCATGAATTACTCTTCTCTTACATGAAAATATAGACAACACACACATGCAATACAATAAAATACATCTAGACATCATATTCAACTAAATTCTCATCAAAATATCAACATGCAACCAAAGATCATCCACTCTCGCCAAAATCATTTTATATGTTTAAGACCCAACAAAAAACCCCCAACTTGCAATTTCATCTAAATCATTCAAGCAACCATAGATAAAAATTGAATCAACAACCAACAACAATCTTTATACCCCTAAGATGCATAAGAAGAAGAATAAAAAGAACTTCAAAGCTACTTTCTCTAGTATCTCTCTAAAGTTCTTTGAAAAATAAGCTTATGAGGCTCAAGTTTCAAAAAAAATCTTATGTATTCTTTCCTCAAGATTAAACTGGATCTCTACCTAAAAAAAACTCTCTAAAACACTTAAAGACTCATCAGAAATTTTTTAACTTTCAAAATCTCTCAACAACATGTCTCAAAACACCACAACACATAATTATTACTAACATACAATAATTAATAAAACAATATTACAGTATTACATATTTGAATATAGTGAGACAACTAAAGAAAAGTAATAGAGATGATTTTAATAACTCATTTTCATTTTCATTTTTTTTAATGAAACGATAAGTATATTTTTTTACAAAAATATTATATGCATAGCCATTTTTTTTAATGTCTTCATTCAAAAATCATAATATATAATAAATTATTAATTATTAAAAATTTAATTAAAAATCATACACACAAAAAATTATTAGCTAACATTATCGGTGCAAGGAAATTAAACTCATGTTTATCATTTTTATTTATTCAATATGCAGAATTAAATAGTATAGAATTATATTGTTTACCAAAAGATATATATATAAAAGAAAATGTGAATATCTTAAAATTAATTAATAATTTAATTATTAATTAAGACTTAATGTTTATCGATCATTATTGAGTTAAATTGGACAAAATTAAGTTTCAGATAATCATTAAGTAAATAATGATGTTTGATTTGTCATTAAATCTAAATCTTATCCAATAGTCATGGATGTAATCTTTTACCATTTTTACAAATAAAAAGAAAATTAAGACTTGTTACGACCTTTTAATCGCAAGAGTGCTGGACGAGAAAATTGTCTGATCAAGGTACTTGTTTTGTATTAAATTTGTTTAGCATTGATATATATATATATATAT